ATGGGTATTACCTTATTGTCGCGCCATCTCTTAAGGAAGGTTAGCGTCTCGATTAGCTGTGACTTCTTGTCTCATTGTCTGTTAAAAACTCTAACATATAAGTGGAATTCCTCCCCGTAGAGGTGGTTAATTCTAGATTTGAAGTTTTCGTGACTGCAATGATCCATACTCTTTGGTTCTTTCGGTAAAGTCACATAGGTAAAAATAAGCTCTTATTACAAAATAGCTCTCTTTACAGTAATTTTGCTGTGCTAGTTACACCTGATGACGGAAGTTTGTTGCCTCCAAAACGTCGTGATTTGATTTTTTATTTTTACCTACGTGACTTTACCGAAAGAACCAAAGAGTAAGTACAGATATATTTTATAATTTCTATATAGTAATTACATGCCCATGTCATTTATGTACTTATCTTCCCTTCAACTAATATACTCTGACCAAGAACAGAAGTTACCATAGGAAGTTGAGAAAATAATAATGGGTAAGGTTTACTTTTGATCACTTTGCAGTCAGCTGTTCTTAAAAAAGCAGTTCAACACGGAAACGAGTAGAAAGCGCTAGTAATACGGAATTAAGAATGATACTCAAAACACTTGTAAATGTTCTACACTTCATCGCAAAGTTAAATGACATTATCAACGTTTTCCCTTCTACTAAAATTGATTGAAAATAATTTTGAGATAAATTGTATCATGGAAATAAACCAAAAAATTCTAAATAAACTCATTTTGCATAAAAACATATATTTGAGCGCCCCACGGTTTTATTTTTTAGTTACAAATGTCCAAAAATATTCTGATCAGCTGGTGACGCCTTTTTTAGTTCACTTTAAAATAAAACCGTTGGTTTTAAAAGAAAATTATGGAGTTTTTTTTTACAGATGTCCAGTCTGGGCGGTTTGGTCTACAGTGGAAAAGGTGGCAAACCTTGTGCACCTTTAGCGGCTTCAGTCTCACACTGGAGATTGACACCCGCAACTGCGAAACACCCTTGGCGATTAAATTAATCATCGCAATTCGATCGTGAGTATATATTACCACTTCCGACACTGCAGCGCCCTCTAGCGTCTGCAGGGGGTCATGCGTAACTCACTGCACCACATGACTCGGAAGCCATGTATCGTGGGGGAGCTTGTGGGATCGATTGGAACTGATGCATCGTCACATCCCTGCTGCCAGCGACACCGTATTGTACAGCCTGTTCTCAAATATAATCCCATGCCCAGTGTTTGGTGTTTGAATAAAATATAGTGTCCGTAGAGGTGTCATCATGTTTGTAAAGCATTTCAATTAGACTGCGTTCTGAGCTGGGGTAATACAAAGATCCCCCGTATAGCCTAAGCAGACTGTTGGGGGCAAGTGCTGTTAGCGAGCACCTATGAAGGCCGGCACGGCACACGAGTGCGTGTATGTGGCCAACACCACGCCCGGCCACCTTTTTCTTCCCGGTGGCGATGTTGACACACCACACCAGGGACTAATTTGAGGCTGAGTCGATCGAGGGGAGGCCCATGATCGTTTCAGATAATCGTCACTGGTGTTGGCCGTGAGTCGGAATCGAACTCGAGTCGCCGGGGTTGGTAGCGCAGTGTAGCACTATCCGCTGCACTGCCAGAAAAAAAGGGGAAACCCTACTATCATATTTTGGAACTGGCAAAGGAGGTTCCATGATGTAGATGCTCACCCCGAGCCCTCATTACTCTGATAGGGGCATTGTCTTTGGGCTGTGTGCGCCTTTTGGCGTCCTCTGGTCTAACACCGTTTGAGACGAGGCTCAAAAGAAAGCTGTCTCTGGTGTGTAGCAATCAGTTTCAAGGACAATGCATCATATATTATCAGAGTATTTTTTTGTTTGCATTCTGACCACAAGCATTGTGGTTAATGCAGACATGATTCCTTATAAAAGGTTTCAGTTTGGTGTTTTAACATCTTAACACCTGTTTTGTTGCAAGAAAAAAGGGGAAAACCCTATTATCACCTATAGCTCGGTCCGAGCTGTTTTATTGCCAGAAAGGATAAAACCTAATCCTATTTGTCATCATTCTCACAGTGCTGTTTGTTGCTGGCCGCTTGTTGATGCGGTTTTTTTGTCGTTGGACCTTTGCGGCCGGTGCACAGCAACTGTGGGGATACCCCAACATCGATAGCTCAAAACTTTCCGTCGAAATAGCGCGAAGCGCGTCATTCATTCAGAGCAGCCGCTCCCTCCCACAGACGCCCAACGCGACGAGACACACGCACACCCTGGGACAGCCAGACACAATCTGGCTGCAGGAAAACCATTGCGAGAACTAGACTTGCGATATATATTTTTTTAGGGTACAATAAAAAAAATGTCCCGATACGGCGATTATCGCGATATCAGAACTTAGTAATTGTCTTTAGCAGTTGTATTGATTTGGGCATTTGGTTATACACGCGAATTAGCGCCCTGTAAATGAAGGGAGTTTCTGCTGTTGTTGCATTTCTAGCGTGAATGAAGATCGCTTTGAAGGTCTTCAAATGCAGTTGTCCCAACATTAGCCCTGCCATGAACCTTTACAATGGATAACGCTTATATAATGCACATGCTGTTAGGTACACGACACATAACTACACAGACTTATTAAAACGACTCATCACTGATTGTTGGGGTTATGCCACGAAATGGATCTTAGCATATCTTGTGTCGCAAGACCCTCCACCACCTGACAGCCGAGATAGAGAGCAATTCTCGCCGCCAGATTGAGCAGCGATTAGACGCAAGTTACGACGTTTCGCTTGAAACTGCGCCAAGCATCGTCAGCACAAGATCCCCACTCTCGCTCTCCGTGTGAGTCACGTGCTTTCTCAAAAACACATCGGCGACCATGGCCTATTTAGCTCTGTCCTAGATGTATACTCAACAACTTGTTAGTCTAGGTGCAATGTTAGTCTATGTGCAGTGTTAATCTATCGTCAATGTTAGTCTATGTGCAGTTTTAATCTATTGGCAATATTAGTCTGTGAAATGCTCGTCTAAACTAAAACTATTTTTTCTTTTACCAGGTGAGGTCAACTTAGCTAAGTAGCTCTTTTTCAGAAACGACCTGTCACAAATGATAGTTCCACGAAGTTTCTTGTAATGTGGACACTTATAGCAGTCAAATACTCTAAACGCGTGTTGATTCTAAGTATGAAGGGGAAAACTGGAGGATCCGCAGAAAAATCCACGCAACCACGGGAGAGAGACTTGCAAACTCCAAATATACAGCAGGCGTCAGGGTCGGGATCAAACCCACGACCTCCTGTATACCTGGCGAGGTAGTATAACATCTCGCCCCTGTGGCGCCCTCTATGTGCAGTTTTAATCTATATGCAATGTTAGTCTGGGCAATGTTAGTCTATGTGCAGTGTTAAACTCTGGTAAATAAATGTTAGTCTTGGGCAATATAATCGTGACAAATTAATTAATACTATTTTTTTATTTTTCTTCGAAAGCCACACTAAGTCATATGACTCTTTTTCAGGAGGGTCCTGCTACACTGGGTTTTTATTTGAAGACGTTTACAGCCAACCTAATTTACATTTAGTATTTCATAAATATTGTTGGCAGCAAATAAAATATACATATGTACGCGAACGAGCACCAACAATCGCGATGTGATGATATATATATTTTTATTGCTAAACGGAGGTTACGATTATCGCAGAACCGTGACATCGTGCGACGCCGAGTGGAGCCGCGTGGCGCCGCGTGACGCGCGCAGCGTGAATCCGCACGCCAGCGCGGGTCATGGGCGGCACCTGGTCGCGAATCGTGGAGCGAGCCGCGTGCTCCCTCCTCCGCCGTCTCCGCGCTGATGGCTCACTCATGCTGCCATACACACACAAAGACGAAGAGCCCCAGTATAGCCTTCGCGGACTATTGGGGCAAGTGCCATTCACGAGCACTGATGAAGGCCGTCATGGCACACGACGGCGTGGTGTTGGTTATAGCACCATGCCTAGCCATATTTGTCTCCCCACTTGTAATGTTTACACACAGCACCAGGTACTCATTTAAGGCTGAGCCGACCTAAGGGAGGCCCACGGACCGGTTCATAAAATCGTCACCCTTTGTGGACCATGCGCGGAAATCGAACTTGGGTCACCGGGTTCATAGCGCAGTGCACGTAACCACTGCGCCACCGCTTGCCAGGTGCGCACAACTAAACATGCACACACACGTACACACGCACATCAACAGAGGGTGCGTACTGTAATGATGGCTCCTCAGGGCACATATTTGCCCTGACTTGTGTTATCTTTGGGCACACCGTCTGCTGAACTACGCTCCATCAACCTCCAAACATTATAATGGGGTTGATGGGATTTCTGCTGAGTGGACAGCGTCAGCTGGCTTAGGAAGAGCCACTCTCCTGCTGTGTCACGCCTCGCTTTATCGTACCGTTGGACTGCGTGGCAGAGTGATGAGTCCCAGCACTCGCTCGCCCCCATGTGTGGCACGCGTAGTGGGGCCTGGGTTGCGCGTGTTCCTGAAGAGCACTGGAATGCATTCCAGCTGCCAGAAAATACCCACAATGCTGTTCTCTTTTCAAAATTACCCATATAAATCTGTCTAGAAAATTAGCCATATAGCCGTTTAAAAAAAGTGTCCATAATGCTACGTATGGAAAATAACCCATAATTCTGTCTAAAAAATGACCCGTAGTGCTGTCTATAAAATGAAACAATGCTGCGTATAGAAAATGACCCATAATTCTGTATATAGAAAATGACCCATAATGCCGTGTCTATATAATTATCCGTAATGCTGCGTCTATAATTATACCATAATGCTTTGTCTATGCAATTACCCATAATACTGCATCTAGAAATTTACCCATGAAGATTTTCTGCCTAGAAAATCACCCATAATGCTATTCTGCCCTGTCGTGAGTGGGGAGCACGGGGTGGGAGGATGGGGGGAGGATGGGGGGGAGCAAGGGGTGAGAGGGGTGGGGAGCAAGGGGTGGGAGGAGGGGGGAGCAAGGGGTGGGGAGCAAGGGGTGGGAGGAAGGGGGAGCAAGGGGTGGGAGGAGGGGGGAACAAGGGGTGGGAGGAGGGGGGAGCAAGGGGTGTGCTCCGTGGCAACCGTGGCGGTGGCGACGGCTGGCCGCACAGGCCTAGGACGTGTACGGGTAGCGGCACAGCGCTCTGCCAATGAGCAGGAAGAGCACTCCGGCCAGCACGGCCTGCGGCACGGCCAGCGCGGCCACGATGAACGACCAGCCATAGTGCGCCCCCACCGCGCCGTCGGGGCAAGCGGAACGCGCCGGAGGCGACACGCCTCCCGCTTCTGCGGACACGTAGCCCTCCAGGGAGACCAGCGCCTCCAGCCACAGCACCAGCAGCAGCAGCACCAGCAGCAGCAGCACCCCTGCACCAGCGGGGGAGGGCGGGGGGAGACACGGGCGTGCCCACACAACACACAACGGGTCGTGATCCACTCGGCCGTGAGAGGTCTCGGAGACTCTGCAGTCTCATTCACGCAGAGTGGATGGGAAAAATGCATGCAGTGGGTAGTGGATGGCAGGAGGAGATGCGTGTGAGTCAAGGCCGTAGCCATGGATTCAAAATTGGGGGGGATCAAATCTTCCAGGGGTCTGGGGGTCCCCCCCCCCCAGAAAAACATATAAATTTGAAAACTAATTTCCTGCCATTTCTTGCCTAAAATATTAAAAACTTCACTAACACATAGGATGGACTTTTTATTCATTTTTTACAATAATGTCTAATAGTGTATTGTAATTATTACATTGCTCTGTTTTTTCTTTTTCCTCATCTTGTTTCATTGTATGTAATGGCAGAGCTTAGGGATTAATAAAGTACAACCATAACCACAATCATATTAACAGACATCTATTTTATAGCAATATATCGGGGGTGACATTTTGAGCATATAGTATAATTACGGCCTTGGTGTGAGAAGTTGTGTGGAAAGAGCGGTAGTTTCGCGGTTAGTGTACTGCGATACGAACCTGGCTATCCGAGTTTGATTCCCGCTCATGATCAACAACAGTGGCGAATATTTAAACCGCTCCAGGGATTCCCCTAGGTCTACTCAGCCTCAAATGAGTACCTGGTGCGATGTGTAAACATTGCTAATAGGGAGAGAAAGGCGGCCAGGCGTGGTACTGACCACCCATCCCCTCTTATGCCATATCGGCATTCATAGGTTCTACTCACTAACAGCACTTTCCCCAACATTCTGTTAAAGCTATACGGGGGACCTTTGTCTTCTTGTCTTTGGGGTTGACATCAGACCACAAGGCCACGTGTTTAATACCCACACGGGAATCCGCTCTGCTGGTGGATGCAGAGCCCCCCAGCGTAGACAGTGGGGGGCTCCCGCGTGGACCCCTCTACGGGCGCCTCGACACGCCGAGTGAGCGACTCGCAAGCGGAAGGATGCGAGTTTAAATCCTGGTTGGGGTGGGGGGTGGGGGGTGGCTGACTCAGCCCATCATCCCTACCTCTGTGGTCGTTAAAATATGTTCTGCTTTGTGGGGAAGTCAACAGCGGTTGGCCTATAGATTCGGCTCTCAGAATCATAATATTTATTTAGACTGGAGGAGAAATTCGATGGGCTATGAAGCTCCTTTTCACAGGATGTCCAGTAGGGGTGGGTCAGAAAGTTACAACAAGTCCTGGTCCACAGCTCTACGACTACTATTTTTTTTATTTTACCAGGTAAGACCCACTGAGCTACGAAGTGGCTTATCATCACGTGGACATCATCGCAGCAAAAAGTCTCTAAACGCGTGTTTCTAAACGTGGAGGGAAAACCTGAGGACCCGAAGAAAATTCGGCACGACCACGGGGAGAACACGCAAACTCCTAATATAGAGGCGTCAGGGTTGGGATTGAACCCACGACCTCCTGTATATCGGGGCGAGGTCGTTAACATCTCGCCACCACTTCGCCCTGCAGGGCTGGGCACCAAGATGAGCAGCAATGCCTCCCACGCTGACTGAGCGGCAGCGAACCGCTCGCGATGCCGGGCCAGTGGTGTCCTCACCAGCGGCGACGAAGATTCCGCCTGCCACCTTGTAGGCCAACGCGCTGTTCTTGGGAGAAGCGCAGATGGCGAGCAGCCCGGCCACCAGCACCAGGCCCAAGGCCACGAGCAGCAGCACGGTCCACGACTGGCGCAGGGCTGCGGGGACACGCACAGAGATGACAAAGGTCACCCGTGTCGCCTTTAACAGGCCGTTGGGGGCAAGGGCTGTTAGCGAGCAGGACGACACACGAGGGGGTGGGTGGCCAACACCACGCCCGGCCGCCTTTGTCTCCCCGGTGGCGATGTTAAAACATCGCGCCGGGTACTTATTGGAGGCCGAGTCGACCTAGGGGAGTCCCAGGCCGGGTTCGTCGCGCGAACCGCCGCCGGCTCCCCCGCCCCCCACACGCACGGCGCTTGCGGCGCGCAGAGGGCGGCCTGCGGCTGCTGCTGCCCCCCCCCCCACGGCTCTCCTCCACTCGCGCGCGGGTGTGAGCCGCAACACACGGCAGGGTGTCACCCCTCACCCCGTGCAGGTGAGCACGACGGCCTCCCGTGTAAGATGATAGCGCACGTGAGATGATAAGCGAGTCTTTGTTATACCCGGCAGTGATTTTCACCCATGGGGTGACGCGGACCCCTAGGGAGTGCGTGGCAATGTCCCAGAGCGTACGTGAGGTGATTTGTAAATGTGTGGAATTACTCATTGTTTTTTTTCGGTAAAGTCACGTATGTAGGAATACCATAAAATTATATTAAAACAAATCAATCACGACGTTTCGACCGCAACACAAGCGATCTTCATCAGGTGTAAAAAAACAAATTACGGAGGTAAATACAACAAGAAGATGAGAGACGAGAATTCAACAAACCTAGGAAAAATTACGTGATGCACAACCAGTCAGGTCAACAACACCGTTAGACACTTACCTGGCGGACCACGAATTTCAGAAGAGTGTTAAATTTCGTGTTTAACCTCTGGATTGAACATACCAGCATAGATAGAATGAACAAATACGAGGTACAAGTCAAAAATACAAATACAGAGACACCAAGAGGCAAGGACGGACAGAGAAGCAAGGTCGGATGAACAGAAGCCTTAAATAAGAAGTGAAGGTGAGGGGAGGGGCCAGAGAGAGAGGGAGGAGCAGGAGGAAGCACGGGAGGAGCAGGAGGGAGCACGGGAGGAGCAGGAGGGAGCACGGGAGAAGCAGGACGGAGCACGGGAGGAGCAGGAGGAAGCACGGGAGGAGCAGGATGAAGCACGGGAGGAGCAGGAGGAAGCACGTGAGGAGCAGGAGGAAGCACGGGAGGAGCAGGATGAAGCACGGGAGGAGCAGGAGGAAGCACGTGAGGAGCAGGAGGGAGCACGGGAGGAGCAGGAGGAAGCACGTGAGGAGCAGGAGGGAGCACGGGAGGAGCAGGAGGGAGCACGGGAGGAGCAGGAGGAAGCACGGGAGGAGCAGGAGGAAGCACGGGAGGAGCAGGAGGGAGCACGGGAGGAGCAGGAGGGAGCACGGGAGAAGCAGGAGGGAGCACGGGAGGAGCAGGAGGAAGCACGGGAGGAGCAGGAGGAAGCACGGGAGGAGCAGGAGGAAGCACGGGAGGAGCAGGAGGAAGCACGGGAGGAGCAGGAGGAAGCACGTGCTGCTGCTACTCAGCAGAGGCGGGGGGGGGAGGGGCAGGAGCAAGTAAGGGGCACACCACGTTTAGGACAGAATTGCACAGGTAACTTCCCCGTAGAAGTGTGTTAATAAAGAAGTAAAGCTTTTGTGACTGCATAATTTTAGTCACTGTTTTTTTCGGTAAAGTCACGTATGTAGGAATACCATAAAATTATATTAAAACAAATCAATTACACCTGATGAGGATCGCTTGTGTTGCGGTCGAAACGTCGTGATTGATTTGTTTTAATATCATTTTATGGTATTCCTACATACGTGACTTTACCGAAAAAAACAATGAGTAATTTATGCAGTCACGAAAGCTTTAATTCTTTGTGTGGAATTATATCACACTTGAGTCATTGGTGAATAATCATGTAGGAATATGCTAATTTAAAATAACTACGATAACATTTTAAACCCACATGGTAACTTAGAACGATATAAAGACCTTTCTAAACTCATTCATCGTAAACAAAGTGGTTACCAAGGGTAACCAGCGAGTGGTTACCAAGGGTAACCAGCGAATGGTTACCGAGGGTAACCAGCGAGTGGTTACCAAGGGTAACCAGCGAATGGTTACCGAGGGTAACCAGCGATTGGATACCGAGGGTAACCAGCGAGTGGTTTCCAAGGGTAACCAGCGAGTAGTTACCAAGGGTAACCAGAGAGTGGTTTCCCAGGGTAACCAGCGAGTGGTTACCAAGGGTAACCAGAGAGTGGTTTCCCAGGGTAACCAGCGAGTGGTTACCGAGGGTAACCAGCGAGTGGTTTCCAAGGGTAACCAGCGAGTAGTTACCAAGGGTAACCAGAGAGTGGTTTCCCAGGGTAACCAGCGAGTGGTTACCAAGGGTAACCAGAGAGTGGTTTCCCAGGGTAACCAGCGAGTGGTTTCCAAGGGTAACCAGCGAGTGGTTACCGAGGGTAACCAGCGAGTGGTTTCCAAGGGTAACCAGCGAGTAGTTACCAAGGGTAACCAGAGAGTGGTTTCCCAGGGTAACCAGCGAGTGGTTACCAAGGGTAACCAGAGAGTGGTTTCCCAGGGTAACCAGCGAGTGGTTTCCAAGGGTAACCAGCGAGTGGTTTCCAAGGGTAACCAGCGAGTGGTTTCCAAGGGTAACCAGCGAGCGCGAACAAATTGCGTCACTCGTGCAGAGCGCTTTTTTATTTGCTGGCGGCGGTTACTTGCGACTTAGGACACCTCACAAAATTGACAATTGGTTAAAATATTTACATTCATTATTCATACATTTATTTTCATTTATTTTCACGTGTGAAGGCACACACACACACGTGTGAAGTCACGCACACACACACACACGTGTGAAGTCACACACACATACGTCTGAAGTCACACAAACACGTGTGAAGTCACAGATAACGTGTGAAGTCAAACACACACACACACACGTGTGAAGTCACGGACACGTGTGAAATTACACACACGTGTGAGGAGTCTCTGTGTGTGGAGTCTCTGCGTGAGGAGTCTCTGCGTGAGGAGTCTCTGTGTGTGGAGTCTCTGCGTGAGGAGTCTCTGTGTGTAGTGTCTGTGTGTGGGGTCTCTATGTGAGGAGTCTCTGTGTGAGGAGTCTCTGTGTGAGGAGTCTCTGCGTGAGGAGTCTCTGTGTGAGGAGTCTATGTGTGTGGAGTCTCTGCGTGAGGAGTCTCTGCGTGTGGAGTCTCTGTGTGAGGAGTCTGTGTGTGGAGTCTCTGTGTGAGGAGTCTCTGTGTGAGGAGTCTCTGTGTGAGGAGTCTCTGCGTGAGGAGTCTCTGTGTAGGGAGTCACTGTGTGAGGAGTCTCTGTGTGTGGAGTCTCTGCGTGAGGAGTCTCTGTGTGTGGAGTCTCTGTGTGAGGAGTCTCTGTGTGAGGAGTCTCTGCGTGAGGAGTCTCTGCGTGAGGAGTCTCTGTGTGAGGAGTCTCTGTGTGTGGAGTCTCTGTGTGAGGAGTCTCTGTGTGTGGAGTCTCTGTTTCCTCCGGGGTCTCCGGTTTTCTCCCATAAGATAAAATAAGAATAAAAATTAAGTACAACGTAACCGGTATTGCTAAAACATGCCAATGCTGAAACATTATAATGTAAATTAACTAAATTGCATAGATGTTAACCCATACAGTTTACCCCTTATTCTTGTGTTGGGAAATTTAATTTTTAGGTCCATATGGTGTATAGGCCTTTCAATATGGGAACTTTGCGTCTGTTTCTCCCTTGTGATGGGACTTTGTAAGATGAACGTTGAGATTCATAAGGACACGGGGTGATCAATAAGGTATGAATTGGTCTGTTATAAGGTAGGCACTGATAATTGGTTGACAGATTTGCAATTGGGATTGCACAGCAGCATCACTTCCTCCTGCAAAAAACATGGCAGGACCCTCCTGAAAAAGAGTCTTGAGACTCGGCGAGGCTTTTTTTTCTGGACAAACCAGCAGAATAATAATACTCCTACACTGTTGCATTTGAGCCACACTCACCGAACAGCTCGTGGCTGTCAGACGTCGAGTTTCCCTGCAACACTTGGTCCGGCAGGGGAAAGAGGCGCGAGGGGGAGCAGTTCTTCCTCCCGTGGGGGGCTGTGGGGAGAGGGGGGGCGGGATACAGACACGAGAGCGGGAATCGTACTGCTGTAGACCCCCAGAAAGTATTCTATCACCTCCTCTCATCCGGGGCCACGGGGGGTGGGTGGGAGGCGATGGGACGTGGAGTCCGTGGCGGGACAGTTCGCGGGCGTCAGCAAGGCTCCACGGGGTCAACCTTCTTTCCAAGGGGCCGAACGAGAAACTTCCCAGGGTGGAGGGCAGGCGGAGCTTTGAGGTGGTCCAAGAATTCCAAGCTTTTAAAAACGGGCCCCTCTACATGAATAAAAGATACAGACGCATTCAATTAATTTCGTCTGGTGAATGTCAATAAAATACAAATGCTTGGGGGTGGTCTGAAGGAGTGGGGGGGACGGGGACGATCGACTCCCCCCCTCTCCCCCGCCGTGGGTCCCTTGGATCCACTCCTGACAGCACGAGCATTGCAGCCGCGTGCCCCCACGACTCACAGCGTTGTGTGGCGAGCGGTGGTGCAGTTGTTGGTGATCGGAAACCCGGCGACCCGAGTTCAGCTCCTGTTTCGTGGCCGATGTAGTGAGCGGTTTCGCTTTAAATCGAGGAGCCGATGATTGCCGACTGCACGTCGCCACGGTGGCTAGGAGATGTTAACTACCTCGCCTGGTATACAAGAGGTTGTGTTTTCGATCCCGACCCTGACGCCTGCTGTATATTTGGAGTTTGCGTGTCTCTCTCACCATGGTCGCGTGGACTTTTTACATTCGGGTCTTCCGGTTTTTCCCTCCACATTCAGAAGCATGCGGTTAGAGTATTTGGCTGCTATAAATTTCCACATGATAAGCAACTTCGTTGATCTATCATTTGTGATGGCCAGGTCGCTTCTGAAAAAGGGCTACGCAGCTCAGTGGGGCCTTATCTGGTAAAATAAAAAAACATCGCTTAAATAGTTAAAAAGAATGTCCCAGAGCTGCGAGTGGAGTGAGGTGAATACTCTCTCGTGTTCACGTTCATTCTAGAACGGTGCCAACGTTGGTTCAAAGGTACCAACCAACGCAAATTGACTGGGATGGCCGGATACACCAACGCAAATTGACTGGGATGGCCGGATACACCAACGCAAATTGACTGGGATGGCCGGATACACCAACGCAAATTGACTGGGATGGCCGGATACACCAACGCAAATTGACTGGGATGGCCGGATACACCAACGCAAATTGACTGGGATGGCCGGATACACCAACGCAAATTGACTGGGATGGCCGGATACACCAACGCAAATTGACTGGGATGGCCGGATACACCAACGCAAATTGACTGGGATGGCCGGATACACCAACGCAAATTGACTGGGATGGCCGGATACACCAACGCAAATTGACTGGGATGGCCGGATACACCAACGCAAATTGACTGGGATGGCCGGATACACCAACGCAAATTGACTGGGATGGCCGGATATCTAACCTGCAAGCGGAAGAAAGTCGCGAGTTCACAACCTGGTGCAGGGGTCGCATCAGCCCATCATCAATCTGACGTTGATAAAAATAAGTACCATTCCGCAGAAGTCTGCAGTAGCTGTCCGGTGTAGTTTTTCGTCCTGTCATAGGAATATGGAATTTCCAGCACCTGAGATGTAGCACAGATTGGGTGGCATGAGGCAGGCTGTTTTGCGACAGAGCCACCCACGAGCCGATTAATATTAATTGCGTCTTGCGTCTTTGCTTGCTGTCATGAACGCTAAACAGATTATCTTCATTAGCGCTTCTCATTTTCTTAATTACAATATATCGATTGCAGTGGAAGGCATCTGAGATGCAACACAACTCTAAACAAGTAAAGAGTCGACAAGACGTGATGTGCCGCGATGATGTCCCGTGCGACTTGGCGGCAGAGCCTGCGGGACATTCCAGCGAGGGCGCTCAATCGCGATGCTGGATCGGGGAAGTCGTGTCACTGCTGCTGGGCTCGCTCGCCCTGGACGGCCGTGTCTCAGTGACCACCCCCCCCCCCCCCCAACACACACACACAGCTGTGCAACAACAAACCTCAACCTCTCAGACAGTTCATCCGAAGCTGCTTCTTCTGCTCGCTTCGCTTTCGCACAAACGCCCTGCCACACGACGAGGGCCGCCGCCGCCGCGGCGAGCGTGGGCGTCCGTGCTGCGTGGGCCCCCCATGCAGCGCCACGCGATCCCGCCGCCAACACCGACCGGCGGACGCTGCGACAGTCGCCGCAGCACTTGTTGCACTTGACGACAAATGACGATGACGAGGAGGAGTTGGAGGAGAAGGTGGCGGTGATACCCGTGCATCACGTGGGTGGGGGGCTCTCTGTGATTCGCTCCACAGCGACCAGACTCGGCAATTCAGCACCCCCCCCCCTCCCCGCCGTGGCTTGATTCGCGACGGCGAGCGCACGGGCGGGCCGAGGTGCGGGGGAACTGGCGGCGGACTCACCCAGCCAGAAGTTCCAGAGGCTGCCGCGGTTGTCCTCCCCCGAGATCCAGCAGCGGAAGAAGAAGCCCTCGTGGAGGAAGAAGGCGTCGCGATGCTCCTCGGCGCCCTGCTGCTGCCCGCCAGCTCCGCTCGTGGTCTCCGCGCTCAGTGCTGCGTCCTGCAGAGGAATCGGCAGCAGCAGCGGCGGCCGCTCGCTGTGCGCACTTGGCCCCAGGCCACGGGAACCCCACCCCCCCCCCAGGTCTCGAGTTGGTTTCGTGCGACCCAGGCGAGAACTCAAAACGACCACAGCGTGAGTCTCATTCGCGAGAGTTGAGCTGGGTCACCACGATGATGAAGGCAATCCCGTGACAAAATGAAACACCAAGTACGGCAATGAAGCGAATGGCTATGAGAGCAACAACAACAAAAACAGCCAAATAGAATTCAGAGCCAAAACAAGAACATTGAAATCAACCGATAAACAATTGCATTTTAGAATAAATTGAAAACGGGACACAATCGGAGTTATATTCACTCAAACAACATTCTCGGCAACAAAGGTGGTTCATGAGTAAAATTAAGTTGCAGAAACATCGCAGTAGATTCGCGTGATTACTGCGCTCGTGAATAAACAGACAAGAACGTGCGTCAAATACGAACACAAGTAAATTTATCATAAAGAACTGACAGTATCAGTTCTTTATGATGACTTTGATAGCAGTCTGATACTTAAGATATCCATCCAGTACGTGGGCAGCGTGTCAGGGTTCACGGAGGGGTCGTTAGCAAGCCGTGCTTCTGGAACACGGAGCACCTCCTGCTATTCCAACTGAACTATTAAACTAGTTTTATTTACCAGGCAAGGCCCACTCAGCGATGTAGATCCTTTTCAGAAGTGGCCTGACCACAAATGGTAGCCCAATAAAGTGGCTTATCACGTGGACATTTAGAGCAGCCACATACTCTAAACACGTGATGTTGATTCTAAATGTGGAGGGGAAAACCGGATGGCCCAGAGAAAAATCTACGCGACCACGGGGAGAGAGAGAGAGAGACACTACCTGCTACCCGAGGCCCTGCTGTCCGAACGAGGTTACACCAGGCCCTGCCGTCTGTACGAGATCGCACCTGGCCCTGCGTGCGCCGCGTGCCCCTCATAGCGGGCACGCCGCGCACGCGCCAGGCTGGCACCGACCAGCCCACGCTCTGCAACCCGAGCCACCCCCCACCACGCACGCGGCACGACCCCGCACGGGAGTCCGCAGAGCAGGGCGCCCAGAAGGGGCGTCGCTGCGAGGGCTGGGCTCTTGTCAACAGCTCATGATGCTGGATGTCAGCTACAACGAAACGTCGTGCAGATTTGTCAAAAACGTAGCTTTCTCTTCAACATTACTCCCGCGGTTCGCTGAAAAAAATTATCAATTGGTACATTTGCCCTCGTGACTTGATTTGGTTGGCTCAGTCGGGTGGTGGAGGGTTATTGTTAAAACATTGATCTTATACCTTCAGGATCTAACCAAAAACAAATGCTTCATGAAAAATTATTTGTGAATTATGAATTTATGAAATCATATAATTGGCATACCGTGAATTGCAGTTTCTAAAGCAAACGTTTGATGGGGAAAAACAATTTTTGTTTACAACTTTATTTTCCTGAGTTGTATTATTTCATGAAAATGTTGTCAGGGTTCTGTCCACGACCGCCTGCCGAGCCTTCCTCTCGCGTCGCCAACGGAGGTGTCCAGGGCCTCCAATGCTGCCACGGGCGTGCTGGGCTTGGTGGGGAGTTGCCACCTGTGTGCTGGTTTTCCCCGGCGTTGTTGCTATGCTACGCACTTCTAAATCTACATTGAAAACTACTTTCTTTAAAACTGCATTTTTGTGTTTAGCTTGTTGTCCTTCCCCCCGCACCCCCGATTAGCACGGTTGGTTACATAGGGTGCGAAAGAAGTTTCTACATACATACATTGAAAGAAGTTTCTACATACATACATTGCAAGAAGTTTCTACATACATACATTGAAAGAAGTTTCTACATACATACACTGAAAGAAGTTTCTACATACATACATTGAAAGAAGTTTCTACATACATACACTGAAAGACGTTTCTACATACATACATTGAAAGAAGTTTCTACATACATACATTGCAAGAAGTTTCTACATACATACATTGAAAGAAGTTTCTACATACATACACTGAAAGAAGTTTCTACATACATACATTGAAAGAAGTTTCTACATACATACACTGAAAGACGTTTCTACATACATACATTGAAAGAAGTTTCTACATACATACATTGCAAGAAGTTTCTACATACATACATTGCAAGAAGTTTCTACATACATACATTGAAAGAAGTTTCTACATACATACATTGCAAGAAGTTTCTACATACATACATTGAAAGAAGTTTCTACATACATACATTGAAAGACGTATCTACATACATACATTGAAAGAAGTTTCTACATACATACATTGAAAGAAGTTTCTACATACATACATTGAAAGAAGTTTCTACATACATACATTGAAATAAGTTTCTACATACATACATTGAAAGAAGTTTCTACATAATACATTGAAAGAAGTTTCTACATACATACATTGAAAGAAGTTTCTACATACATACATTGAAATAAGTTTCTACATACATACATACATGGAAAGAAGTTTCTACATACATACATTGAAAGAAGTTTCTACATACATACATTGAAAGACGTTTCTACATACATACATTGAAAGACGTATCTACATACATACATTGAAAGAAGTTTCTACATACATACATTGAAATAAGTTTCTACATACATACATTGAAAGATGTTTCTACATACATACATTGAAAGACGTTTCTACATACATACATTAAAAGAAGTTTCTACATACATACATTGAAATAAGTTTCTACATACATACATTGAAATAAGTTTCTACATACATACATTGAAAGAAGTTTCTACATACATACATTGAAAGAAGTTTCTACATACATACATTGAAAGACGTTTCTACATACATACATTGAAAGACGTATCTACATACATACATTGAAAGAAGTTTCTACATACATACATTGAAAGAAGTTTCTACATACATACATTGAAAGAAGTTTCTACATACATATATTGAAAGACGTTTCTGCATACATACATTGAAAAAAGTTTCTACATACATTGAAAGACGTTTCTACATACATACATTGAAAGACGTTTATACATACATACATTGAAAGACGTATCTACATACATACATTGAAAGAAGTTTCTACATACATACATTGAAAGAAGTTTCTACATACATACATTGAAATATGTTTCTACATACATACATTGAAAGACGTATCTACATACATACATTGAAAGAAGTTTCTACATACATACATTGAAAGAAGTTTCTACATACATACATTGAAAGAAGTTTCTACATACATACATTGAAAGAAGTTTCTACATACATACATTGAAATAAGTTTCTACATACATACATTGAAAGAAGTTTCTACATACATACATTGAAAGAAGTTTCTACATACATTGAAAGACGTTTCTACATACATACATTGAAAGACGTTTCTACATACATACATTGCAAGAAGTTTCTACATACATACATTGAAAGAAGTTTCTACATACATACATTGCAAGAAGTTTCTACATACATACATTGAAAGAAGTTTCTACATACATACATTGAAAGAAGTTTCTACATGCATACATTGAAAGAAGTTTCTACATACATACATTGAAAGAAGTTTCTACATACATACATTGAAAGAAGTTTCTACATGCATACATTGAAAGAAGTTTCTACATACATACATTGAAAGAAGTTTCTACATACATACATTGAAATAAGTTTCTACATACATACATTGAAAGAAGTTTCTACATACATTGTTGAGCCGGCTACTTGTCCTTGGACATCTGTGAGTCTTCCCGGGACATTAAAAGTCCCGGTATTGTCATTTACATATTACAAAAACAATATTACACTGCTCGAAAGGGTGCGTTATAGGTAGATCTCCCCACGTTCTGGCATTGTGAGATATTCCTCTTCCCACGACACGCCATTGGTTTTTTGTTGTTGTACCTCGGAGGTTTCAAACCCGATCCGTGTGGGTTAGAGGTCAGGGCCTCATCTTGCAAAGGGAATACCGCGAGCTCCCAGGATGTGAGCTATCGCATGGCACTGTCACGCAGATCGATGGCCCTCTGCACGGCGCCACGCGCTTCCCCGTATCTCCGCTCATGGTCAGGGGCTTCTGGTGCAGAAAAAAAATCCGCGGGGCAGCCAAGAAGGCAACGCCCATACCAACATGGCCACTGTTCGTGCTGTCATCGCTCCGTGCGTCGCTCAGCCAGTCCCAGCTCGAGGTAACTCGCTGACCCGTCCGTACTGGACATCTGTGATGAAGAGCTTCATAGCTAATCGGATTCCTCCTCCAGTCCATGTAAAGATTCTGATTCTAAAGTTCAGTCGGTTAAAAAACAAATCTAGATATAGCGTTCGATTGACGTTAGGATCACGTGGCTTGATTGTACACCACGAAGGAGAGAGGTATCGGGCGAGGCATTCTATTTCCAGATGACCTTGCGAGGGTATTCCCCGTGGTACAAGCAGAGGTATGCAGACGGAAGGCTGCAGGCAGATGGCGGAAGGGGTTTTCCCAAACATTTTGAGCCAACGGTGGCCACTCCACCAGGCACTGTGATGATTCGTTCTGGCGGATATCTCATGACCAACAATGAGCCGGATGGTACACTGTTATAGAGGTGTACAAACCGATATACGTTCATTTTATTGACGACGATGCGTTATTGCGTTCGTTAACAATTAACACATTCTTGTCAGTTTGTCTAGTTTGTTTCGTTATTACGGTTTTTTTCGCTATTAAAATCCCAAATTAATATTTTTTTGGGTGGGGAAAAAAAGCTAAATAGCATAGAGTAAATGCACGTTGTGTCGTTTGTCTGCGTGTGCATTTTATACGGTTCCAGGCTGTTTGCCTAGCTGCTGCGTATTGTCGCCTCACCGCTCATTGTATGTACTGTGTATGTTGAACTTCTTTCGCACCGTACGCAGCCAACCGTGCTAATCGGAGGTGCGAGGGAAGGATAACAAGACATTCGTTTTCAATCTAGAGGATTTAAAAGTGTATAGCTCCAGTGGCGTCCTAATATCGGAAGAGCGTTCCAGACGGCCGCAGAAGTGCATCCCGAAAGCACGCGGTGGCGGCGACCACCGTCTTGGTTCGATGGCCAGCCTGAAGCCGCTGCTGTGAGGATGTCGACCAGAGTTTACAGACCAAGGCGCGTAGATCAACCTGCGGTTCGTTGGCCACGCGGCTCCCTCCCTCGTCCTCCCACGATTATGATTCTTCGTTTATTTGTGGTTAAGGCCAGGGCCGTCCATGGTGGGAAGGAGGGGAGGCTGGGGGAAATCCCACCGTGTGGGCCCCCCCCTATGTATTCAAACTAAAGCTGAAGTATGACATCTTACACCGTGACGTCGAAGCACAGGGGGGGGGGGGGGGGGGAAAACAGCGGGGCCCCGGGCGGTCAGCCCCAGATTCGCCGTACCCGAGGGACGGCTCTGGGGTTAGGCCACGCAGTGATCTGGTCACTTTGGTGTCGTTAAGACCTTCTGACACCCGACACGGCCAAACAAATTCAACTGTACAAGCGTTTAACGACGCGCCAATCGTTATTGATTCAGAACAAAAAAATCCAGGATCTTTATTCTGACTTCCTAGACCGTGCGCTGAAGATGCTGGTTGCACTTTTACGCTGAGCGTCGCGCATCTAATCGCTGCTTCATCCGGCCGTGAGGATCGTTCTTCAACTCGCCGGCGTGCGGGCTAAAGCAGTAATTATCGTTGGTGCGCTGAATACTTGCACACCACGTGACAATTCAATTTGGCTGTGTCGAGTGGTGGAGGGTCTCAATGACACGGGCACACTGACACACGAACATGTGCACACTGACGCAGGGACACACTGACACACGTGCACACTGACACACGTGCACACTGACACACGGACACACTGACACACGTGCACACTGACACACGGACACATTGACACACGTGCACACTGACACACGGACACATTGACACACGTGCACACTGACACACGTGGACACTGACACACGTGCACACTGACGCAGGGACACACTGACACACGTGCACACTGACACACGTGCACACTGACACACGGACACATTGACACACGGATACACTGACACACGGACACACTGACACACGTGCACACTGACACACGTGCACACTGACGCAGGGACACACTGACACACGTGCACACTGACACACGTGCACACTGACGCAGGGACACACTGACACACGTGCACACTGACACACGTGCACACTGACACACTGACACACGTGCACACGGACACACGGACACACTGACACACGTGCACACTGACACACGGACACATTGACACACTGACACACGTGCACACTGACACACTGACACACGTACACACTGACACACTGACACACGTACACACTGACACACGGACACACTGACACACGTGCACACTGACACACGGACACATTGACACACTGACACACGGACACACTGACACACGTGCACACTGACACACGGACACATTGACACACTGACACACTGACACACGTGCACACGTGCACACGGACACGCTGACACACGTGCACACTGACACACGGACACACTGACACACGTGCACACTGACACACGGACACATTGACACACGTGCACACGGACACACGTGCACACTAACACATGTGCACACTGACACATGTGCACACTGACACATGGACACACTGACACACGTGGACACTGACACACGTGCACACTGACACACGTGCACACTGACACATGGATACACGGACACACGTACACACGTGCACACTGACGCACACTGACACACTAACACACGGACACACTGACACAAGTGCATACTGACACACTGACACACGGACACACTGACACACTGACACACGGACACACTGACACACTGACACACGGACACACTGACACACGGACACACTGACACACGTGCACACGAACAGCCGGGGGCCGCTGGGAGCCACTGACCGTGGGCGCCGCGGCGGTGGCGACGGCCGTCGCGTTGGGCCCGGGCGGCGCAGGGCAGAGTTTGGTGACGAGCAGCCAGTAGTCGGTGCCGAACGCCAGCAGGGCGAAGAAGGCGGCCCCTGCCGCCAGCAGCGCGGCGATGAATGTGGCGACGCTGAAGCTCACCGTGGCAGCTCCCCGCCCCATCGCGGCGCTCCCGATCGGCGCTGGCGGTGCTGGCGGCGGCGGCGGCGGTGATGCCGATCACACAGAGAGACAGCCACCGCGGTGGCGATTCCTATTTCTCATCATTCGTTTGGAAATGAGAATGAGTCGTCGTGTTTGATGATGAGAATGAGTCGTGCTTGATGATGATAATGAGTTGTGTTTGGTAAGAATGATTTGTGTTTGGTAAGAATGAGTCATGATTGATAAGAATGAGTTGTGATTGATAAGAATGAGTTGTGATTGAGAAGAATGAGTTGTGATTGATAAGAATGAGTTGTGATTGATAAGAATGATTTGTGATTGAGAAGAATGATTTGTGATTGATAAGCATGAGTCGTGTTTGATGATGAGTATGAGTCGTGCTTGATGATGATGAGTTGTGTTTGGTAAGAATGATTTGTGTTTGGTAAGAATGATTTGTGTTTGATAAGAGTGAGTCGTGATTGATAAGAATGAGTCGTGATTGATAAGAATGAGTCGTGATTTGATAAGAATGAGTTGCGATTGATAAGAATGAGTCGTGATTGATAAGAATGATTTGTGTTTGGTAAGAATGATTTGTGTTTGATAAGAATGAGTCGTGATTGATAAGAATGAGTTGTGATTGATAAGAATGAGTCGTGCTTGATGATGATAATGAGTTGTGTTTGGTAAGAATGATTTGTGATTGATAAGAATGAGTCGTGATTGATAAGAATGAGTTGTGATTGATAAGAATGAGTTGTGATTGATAAGAATGAGTTGTGTTTGGTAAGAATGAGTTGTGATTGATAAGAATGAGTTGTGTTTGGTAAGAATGATTTGTGTTTGATAAGAATGAGTCGTGATTGATAAGAATGAGTTGCGATTGATATGAGTCGTGATTGATAAGAATGATTTGTGTTTGGTAAGAATAATTTGTGTTTGATAAGAATGAGTCGTGATTGATAAGAATGAATCGTGATTGATAAGAATGAGTTGCGATTGATAAGAATGAGTCGTGCTTGATGATGATAATGAGTTGTGTTTGGTAAGAATGATTTGTGATTGATAAGAATGAGTCGTGATTGATAAGAATGAGTTGTGATTGATAAGAATGAGTCGTGATTGATAAGAATGAGTTGCGATTGATAAGAATGATTTGTGTTTGGTAAGAATGAGTTGTGATTGATAAGAATGAGTTGCGATTGATAAGAATGAGTCATGTTCGATGGAGCCGCTCTCCTCAACACCGGAGGTGTAAGAATGAGTTGAGGTGTAAAGGAGAGCGCATGCCTCATCGCATCTCAACACAGAAGGGGGCACCCCCAGTGGCATCAGCCACAAAGCCATCGTTCTCAGGCTCAGCTCACAGTATTGAAGTGCTCCGTGTCATCCGCTCACTTATCACGCCACTGATTTTTGCCAAATATCACAATGTAGCACCCTCGTGAAAATGAGTCCTGAGACTCGGTGGTATTTTTTTCTCCTCCCCGAGATAAACCACGTTGGCTATTGCTGCCGGTATAAAAGACTTTGGTTTTAGACGTGAAGCTCACGGTGCACGCGTTATACGATTTGTTGGTGCCCACGTGATCCCGGCAGCCACTAGAGGCGCTCCCGTTCACCGCGATCATCCACTGCTGGACGAGGCTCTCCCAACGACGTGCAGATGTTGGGGTGCGGCGGGGAGGGGGGGGTTGACCATACTTCACCACGCTGGTCACTACGGGTTGGTGAAGCTAATCGGCGAGCATAGACGTATTTGGAGCACAGTAGAGCCCTCTGCTACCCACATTGCCCAGCAGCAGCAGCCTATAACACCTGGTATTAAATGCATGTTGGTCACCCATAGACGCTTAGCTTCCGCTCAGGCGCTTTCTGGGGGTGATGTTGGTTATAGGCTAATGTGAGATGCATAATCGAGTAAACGTCCTAAACAACAACAAGACGAGCAGATGAGTGAGGCGCAGAGTGAACGGCTCCGTCTCCCTTAGTCTCCATGAGTGATGCCCGCTGCTCAAATCAGCATTGAGGCATTGGTGCACATCTCCTGTTCACCGCCCTACAGTGCTAGAGAGTCCTCAATCCTATAGCGGGGGCCGAGTCTATCCACGAGACCAGCACTGCTGACTTCCCCACATAGCGGTACTCAATTTAGTGACCCCGGAGAGAGGGACGATGATGATGCGCTGAGCCGCCCCCACAGCCAAGGGTTCAACTCGCAGCCGTCACAATTGCGAGCCGCTCGCTCGACCGCTGTAGCCGTCGTGACGCGCGCGGCTCAAACCCCGGAGCCACGCCGCCACGAGTACAAAACCTCGACACATTCATCAACAACGGTAGGCGACGTTTCGGCCAATGGACCCTTATTCTGTTCACCAGGCTACGAAGGAATGGGGTCCCACCCACTCTCCTCCACTGCACCCCCACACGCACCTGCAGTGGCCGCACCACGGAGCTCCGCTCGCGTGAGTTGTGGCCGGGGCCGTCCTCCTCTCCCGGGGCTGGAGGTCGTGCGAGCCGCCTGAAGCGTTTCGGATGTCGCGGAGCCGAGGGTGAGGAGGGGCTGTGGTGAGGATGGTGAAAGCTCAGCGACAATTGGCGAGGCTGAGTGGATTTTGGCTGCCACGGGGTGAGGCTGGCGAGGTCTGGCTGACTTGGGGTGAGACTGGCCTGGTCTGGCTGACTTGGGGTGAGGCTGGCGTGGTCTGGCTGACTTGGGGTGAGGCTGGCGAGGTCTGGCTGTCACGGGGTGAGGATGGCGAGGTCTGGCTGACACGGGGTGAGGCTGGCGAGGTCTGGCTGACACGGGGTGAGGCTGGCGTGGTCTGGCTGACACGGGGTGAGGCTGGCGAGGTTTGGCTGACACGGGGTGAGGCTGGCGTGGTCTGGCTGACACGGGGTACGAGTAACGATGCTGGTGAGGCTGCGAGCCGTGGTCGAGGTGGGGCCGCTATTTTGGGACTGGTGGCGGGCGGGCGGCCGAGGCGAGCCGCTGGGTACCTGGCATGCAGCAGCAGCAGCGGCGGCTCCCTCCGCACTCTCCCCCACCTCCCGACAGCCAAACTTGGACTTAAACTCCGAGAGGGAGAGAGGGAGGGAGGCGCAGATCACCACCACGGAGCCCTCGCAGCCGGGCAGTGCAGAACGCCGCCACCCCAGTCAGCATGCCAGCGGTGGCCCAACGTTGGTATGTGGTTGGAACTGTTGGATTAACGTCGTGCCAACGTCGGCTAAACGTTCCCAACGTTGGGCCAATGTCGTTACAACTCTCCGTGTTTACCGGGACACATGTGCATTTCCAATTGTAATACTGCAGTGTAACACTACACGTGTGTGTGTGCAGCAGTGTCACACTACACGGGTGTGTGTGTAGCAGTGTCACACTACACGGGTGTGTGTGTAGCAGTGTCACACTACACGTGTGTGTGTGCAGCAGTGTCACACTACACGGGTGTGTGTGTAGCAGTGTCACACTACACGTGTGTGTGTGTAGCAGTGTCACACTACACGTGTGTGTGTGTAACAGTGTCACACTACACGAGTGTGTGTGTGTGTAACAGTGTCACACTACACGTGTGTGTGTGTAACAGTGTCACACTACACGAGTGTGTGTGTGTAACAGTGTAACACTACACGAGTGTGTGTGTAGCAGTGTCACACTACTACGTGTGTGTGTGTAGTAGTAGTGTCACACTACACGAGTGTGTGTGTGTGACAGTGTAACACTACACGAGTGTGTGTGTAGCAGTGTCACACTACTACGTGTGTGTGTGTAGCAGTGTCACACTACACGTGTGTGTGTGTAACAGTGTCACACTACACGGGTGTGTGTGTGTAGCAGTGTCACACTACACGTGTGTGTGTAGCAGTGTCACACTACACGTGTGTGTGTGTGTAACAGTGTCACACTACACGTGTGTGTGTAACAGTGTCACACTACACGGGTGTGTGTGTGTAGCAGTGTCACACTACACGTGTGTGTGTGTAACAGTGTCACACTACACGTGTGTGTGTGTGTAACAGTGTCACACTACACGTGTGTGTGTGTAACAGTGTCACACTACACGTGTGTGTGTAACAGTGTCACACTACACGGGTGTGTGTGTAGCAGTGTCACACTACACGCGTGTGTGTGTGTAGTAGTAGTGTCACACTACACGCGTGTGTGTGTGTAGCAGTGTCACATTACACGAGTGTTTGTGTGAAGCAGTGTCATACTACACGGGTGTGTGTGTGTAGTAGTGTCACACTACACGCGTGTGTGTGTAGCAGTGTCACACTACACGCGTGTGTGTGTAGTAGTGTCACACTACACGTGTGTGTGTGTAGCAGTGTCACACTACACGTGTGAGTAGCAGTGTCACACTACGCGGGTGTGTGTGAGTAGCAGTATCACACTACACGGTGTGTGTGTAGCAGTGTCACACTTCACGTGTGTGTGTAACAGTGTCACACTACACGGGTGTGTGTGAGTAGCAGTATCACACTACACGGTGTGTGTGTAGCAGTGTCACACTTCACGTGTGTGTGTGTAACAGTGTCACACTACACGGGTGTGTGTGTAGTAGTATCACACTACACGGGTGTGTATAGCAGTGTCACACTACACGTATGTGTGTGTGAGTGGGTAAGTAAATACACGACAATGTGTAAAGAGGGCGAGTGAGTGGATGGGGTGGTTTGAGTGAGTGATCAGGTGGGTTGGTGAGTGGCTGAGTGGCACGCTAACACACTATACCTGTCTGTGAAACATAGCACCTTACCGAGAGACAGCCTGGCGCTATGCGAACGACAGCGTGCCAATGTCGCGCGTGCTGGTGCTGTGATTGACAACCGACACAGAACGCGCTCGCAGCACCGCTGGTCAGCAGAGTTGTTGCCACAAAGACAAAGATCCCCCATATAGCCTTAACAAACTGTTCGGGCAAGTGCTGGGAGCGAGTCGCACCTATGAAGGCCGGCACGGCACAGGAGGAAGTGGGTGGCCAACACCACGCCCGGCCGCCTTTGTCTCTCTAGTGGCGATGTTTACACACCTCATCAGGTACTCATTTGAGGCTGAATCGACCGAGGGGAGGCCCACAACCACTTCAGATTATCGTCACCGATGTTGGCCGTGAGCGGGACTCGAACTCGGGTCGCCAGATTCGTAGCGCAACTCGCTCACCGCTCCCCTCCCATCGTCCCCCCCGCCATGTGCTCTGCATCGCTCTTGGCATCTGATACAATGCGCACAGTCTACGCTGTGTCCGTGTCAACCAGTGGCGCCAGGCCGTGGTCAAGATTGCGCAATTGTTATTATGTTACGCGCTTGTTTGCCCGTCCAAGATCGGGTGTATATTGCAGTAAATCTGAAATATTAAAAATTGTTCAGCTCATGATTATTAATGGTGGGGGGGGTTGCCCCATGTGGAGTGACGTCACCCCCTCATGGTTATTGGGTAGGAGTGCGGCATGTGGAGTGACGTCACCCGCTAATGATAATTATTAATGAGGAGGGTGCCTCACGTCATCCGCTCATGATTATTAATGAGGGGGGGTGCTTGATGTGGAGTGACGTCACCCGCTCATGATTATTAATTACGGGGGGGTGGTCCTCATGTAGAGTGACGTCACGCGCGGGACACACACATTCTTGGCTTATTATATTAGTAATGATCAATCTGCCATGAGAGCCTCGCCGAGTCTCCAGACCGGTTTTGTTTTATTTCTATTGCTAATTTTTCGCAGTAGAGGTGCAATGTCGCTGCTGATGTTTAATCCCAATTGGAGTTTGTGTTTAGCGTTGAGATGTTTGTCTGACACCACAGCCACATTGTATTTGTGTGTCTGTGTGCAGTAGTGTAGCAGTTAGCGCGCTGCGCTACGAACCCGACGACACGAGTTCGATTATTGCTCACGGCCCACACCAGTGACGATTATGTGAACCGGTCCTGGATCTCCCCTCGGTCTACTAAACCTCAAATGAGTAACTGTTGTGGTGTGTAAACAATCCCGTACTCTCTCCCAGTCCCGTACTCTCTCCCAGTCTCGTACTCTCTCCCAGTCCCGTGCTCTCTCCCAGTCCCGTACTCTCTCCCAGTCCCATACTCGTCTCCCAGTCCCGTACTCGTCTCCCAGTCCCGTGCTCTCTCTCAGTCTCGTACTCTCTCCCAGTCTCATACTCTCTCCCAGTCCCGTACTCTCTCACAGTCCCGTACTCTCTTCCAGTCCCGTGTTCTCTCCCAGTATCGTACTCGTCTCCCAGTCCCATACTCGTCGCACAGTCCCGTACTCTTTCCCAGTCCCGTACTCTCTCCCAGTCTCGTACTCTCTCACAGTCCCGCACTCTCTTCCAGTCCCGTGCTCTCTCCCAGTCTCGTACTCTCTCCCAGTCTCGTACTCTCTCACAGTCCCGCACTCTCTTCCAGTCCCGCACTCTCTTCCAGTCCCGTGCTCTCTCCCAGTATCGTACTCGTCTCCGAGTCCCGTACTCTCTCCCAGTCCCATACTCGTCTCCCAGTCCCGTGCTCTCTCCCAGTCTCGTACTCTCTCCCAGTCCCGTATTCTCTCCCAGTCCCATACTCGTCTCACAGTCCCATACTCTCTCCCAGTCCCGTACTCTCTCCCAGTCCTGTACTCTCTCCCAGTCCCATACTCTCTCCCAGTCCCGTACTCTCTCCTAGTCCCGTACTCTCTCCCAGTCCCGTACTCTCTCCCAGTCCCATACTCTCTCCCAGTCTCGTACTCTCTCCCAGTCTCGTACTCTCTCCAAGTCTCGTACTCTCTCCCAGTCCCGTACTCTCTCACAGTCCCGTACTCTCTTCCAGTCCCGTGCTCTCGCCCAGGCCCGTACTCTCTCCCAGTCTCGTACTCTCTCCCAGTCCCGTACTCGTCTCACAGTCCCGTGCTCTCTCCCAGTATCGTACTCGTCTCCCAGTCCCGTACTCTCTCCCAGTCGCGTGCTCTCTCCCAGTCTCGTACTCTCTCCCAGTCCCGTACTCGTCTCACAGTCCCGTGCTCTCTCCCAGTCCCGTGCTCTCTCCCAGTCCCGTACTCGTCTCACAGTCCCGTGCTCTCTCCCAGTCCCGTGCTCTCTCCCAGTCCCGTACTCGTCTCCCAGTCCCGTGCTCTCTCCCAGTCCCGTGCTCTCTCCCAGTCCCGTACTCGTCTCACAGTCCCGTGCTCTCTCCCAGTCCCGTGCCCTCTCCCCGTCCCGTACTCGTCTCACAGTCCCGTACTCTCTCCCAGTCCCGTACTCTCTTCCAGTCCCGTACTCTCTCCCAGTCCCGTACTCTCTTCCAGTCCCGTACTCTCTTCCAGTCCCGTGCTCTCTCCCAGTATCGTACTCGTCTCCTAGTTCCGTACTCGTTTCCAGTCCCGTACTCTGGCGAAGACTCCAGCAGCACGACGGGGAATCCCACTCCACACGACAGCCCCGAGGTCCCCTCCCGGTGCCCCTCTTGTACTGTCAGCGTAGCCTAGCTCCGCCTCCGGCCACGCCCCCCTTCTGGAACCTACGAGCGGGCTCTCGATGTGACCCTTCCGTGACCTTTCCCCTCGATCCCTCTCCGGTCTATCACGTGGCCTGCTGTCAGTCAGGGTTGCTGTGAGCTGCAGATCCCCTTCCCTGCCAGCAGCCAGCGCTATGCTGCTATGTGACCGATTCTATGTCACTACACTTGTATAGTGAGTTCCTTGATTTCCGGATGACCGCTGCAAAGTATTATCTGTATTTTGATTTAGTGTGCTGATCTTAAAGGTGCATTGAAAAAAGTGATACTCCGACTGATGCTCCTGTTGTTGTAGAGTGACTCATGCAGCCAGCTATGGCTACAGGGTTTGATGTTACATGTTGTTTATGTCGTTTATTATGAAAATTTGGTCACAGTTCGTATGGTCACTGTTACATTGCTTTTATGGCTTTATTTTGGTGATTTCGAAAAGTTTTTTGGTTTGGCCATGTTTCTTTGTTGTAGTATGGAGTTAGACTGATGGCCTTAATCTAAGTTGTCTTGTGGTTGTTGTTGTTTGACTTGCATCCCACTGGGATTTTTGCACAGCGTTGGTGTATGGTGCTTTTTCAGGAATATTTTGCTGTTTTTTCCTGGGTTTTCTGTTTTGCACAGTCACATAGTCACTTTAAGATGTTTTCTTGTTCATGTTTTTTTGTTTGTTGCGGTTGCACCCGATTCAAGAGCCGAATGGCTCACAGGGCTATACCAAATAAATGAAACTCTCTCCCAGTCCCATACTCTCTCTCAGTCCCGTACTCTCTCCCAGTCCCGTACTCTCTCCCAGTCCCGTACTCTCTCCCAGTCCCGTACTCTCTCCCAGTCCTGTACTCTCTCCCAGTCCTGTACTCTCTCCCAGTCTCGTACTCTCTC